TAATCAAAGGACCTGACTCACTCTGAGACAGCTTGGTGGCTGTCAGTCCCAGTAAGACAATAGATGCTTTATACTGAGAACTGTGAGGGGAGGAAGCCGGGCCTGGCACCTAGAGCGTTTTCTCAAGCACCGTTGGCTCCTCCCTAGGACACACTGGGCCTGTTAAGCTCAGAGGGGTCGGGCAGCTCACTCTGCGTCAGAGGATGCAATGGGGCTTCATCAGCTGACAAATACCCAGGGATGCTCAGAACCAGGCAAGACACTCCAGCACAGGTGGCGAGACAATATTTCCCTGGAAAGGACTCAGAGAACTGAGGAGCACAGGGTAGGGAGGGCTGAGAAAGGGCACTGACCCCAAGTCCCTGTGTGTCGCCTGGATCCTCTCTGCACCCTCCCATCAAGCCAGCCAGGTCATGCTTGAGCACCCGCATGGCTCTGCCTCCTCGCGTCTACCTTTGGTTAGGACTGAAGGAAGATCTGGCTTACAGGGAAGCTGGGCTCTACCTCCTTGACTTATTCCTACCTCTGAGGTTAAACAGGAAAGTGCAGTGCCTCTATAGGATAGCTTTTGCGGAAGAGACATTTGCTTTGATGAGCACATGAGCGAGGACTCGTAAACACGAGATAGAAAAAAAGAATAATGATAACGTGAATGGCTACTTTATAGACAGTGCTGATATATACCTGACTGATCCACGTAAAGCCAGGCCTTGCGAGATAAGTGCGATTATTAGCTCTACTTTCTAGATAAGCAAACAGGTTCAGAGGGGGACACGACTTGGCCAAGGTGACACAGCTGGTAAGTAGGAGAGTTAGGACTGAATCCAAGACTATCGGAATCAAAACTTGAATCCTTTTGTTTTTTTTTTAGAGATTGGGACTTGCTCTATTGCCCAGGCTAGAGTGCCATGGCATCACCATAGCTCACAGCAAACTCAAACTCCTGGGCTCAAGCGATCCTCCTGCCTCAGCCTCCCAAGTAGCTGGGACCATAGGCTTGTACCACCACGCCCAGCTAACAAAACTTAAATTCTTAATTGCGATGTCCTAATGCCTAACATTAGTATTTTCCTATTCTCTGCAGGGCTGGCTGTGGAAGCTGATAGTTTCATTTTAGATGTGGTACCCAGGGAAATAACGTCACTAGTAATTTCTCAGAATAAAAGGAAGTGACATACAGTCTGAAGTCAGGTTCACCCATGCTTAGGCGGAGCTCTAACTCAGGGCAGAGTGGGTTTGAATGAAGTGACCCTAAGTGGGTTGGTAGCGCTTCTCATATGCACTCTTCTGCCATGCGTAACCCTACTTTTAAGAAAGAGATCTGGGAGCTGTGCTTTACTGGGCAAACAATCGTTTAGTGCTCAGTTTATTCATGTATACTTTGCTTTACTTGTTTTCACAGGGATAAAATAGTGACTTTGGAAACCCAGCTTAGGTATCTTGATCTTCAGAAACATTTTTGAAAAGGCGAAGTTTGGGGAACATGAGGCAGCTTTGACACTCTAATTTTGTGCCACCAAATGCTGGATGTCCATGGGCTGGGGTGGGGTGGGGGAGTGGAGCGGGGAGCAGAAGGGATTGCAGATGCGGGTTATTCAGGAAGAAAATATTCTTTCCCATCTTTGGGTTTGTGGTTTGTCTGCTCGTTGCTCACCAGGGCAGAGGACCTTCTTTTCTTTTCTCCTTCCAGGCAAAACACTTGCTGAAATCGCCCCTCTCTGCTTCTCTTTTGTGGTGGCAGTAACAACGTGAGCCACCAAGCAGCTGGTGCTCAGGGCTTCTGCACTGCAGCCCTGGTGCCACATGGCAGAAACAAGAGTGCGAAAAACAAAGCAGCAGCACACCCTGGCCAGACGCCCGAGCGTGTGAGGGAAGCGCTGGCTTTGAGCTGCTTGGATTAAGAAAGAGAAGGTGTCTTTTGTTCCTGTTTTTGCTATCGGGACAAAGCTAGCCAGACAACAGAGGCCACTCTGAACCTGAGACCATAAGGAAGGGATGGGGGCAAAACAATAACAAGGGATGCGTGGAAAGTTGTGACCCTGAAGAAGACTGGGGAAGCAACGTGTCCTTGCTGGGTTCTGGCAGTTGCCATTGCCTCAGACACGGTCTCCATTGTCTAGGCACGCATGTGCCGCATCTGAGGACTTGCTCAGGGTCACCTAGCACGTGAGGGGTACAATCAGGGCTTCTGACCCTTGAAGCCACTTCCACGGTTGGTCTGGCTGGCATAGTGGGAATCTGCCCAGCTGCTCTGGGGGTCAGACCACCCTGAGTAATGACCCAGGATGAGGTGGACGGAAGCCTCAAAGCAGTGAAGACACAGCACTGAGATGACACCACCCTTCAGCCAGAAGAAAGGGACCTCCAAGCAGCCTAGGTTTAGGCTCCCATCGGGAGCTCAGGCAGACAGCTACGTCTGATGGGGAGGGCAGAGTGAGGCAGAGCAATCCGTTTCACATTTTTTTCCATGCTCAAGTCAGCTCCTTTCTGGGAAGTCTGGGAGCCATAGAGCCTTCTTCCCCTCGGACTCCATTTCCTGTTATTGGGACACTGTGTGTCTAGGATCGAGTCCATTTCCACCACCTCTTCAAATTTGCCATAGCAATGTTCTTGAAAAAGCAGTGGGCAAACGTCTTGGAGTCTGCTTACCCGTGAAATATCCAGGTGCTGCATTCGTCGGCCTTGGTAATGTAATTCTCAGGCAGGAGTCCAGAGCAGCCGGTGGTTAAGGACGTGCCGTAGATCCAGCCCTCACTGGTGCTGGTCTGCTCCATTGGAGACATGAAGATGAAGTCCCCGGGGACCAGTTCCAGCTCGTCATCATTCTGCGGGGTGTAGGGGTAGATCACCTGTAATGTCTGCAAAAGCAAGAGAGGATGAGTGAGCCCCATGCCTGGGACTGCGTGTTCTGCATTAACGCTGCACACCTCCAGATGGCGCCATGCGCAGGAGCCCCTGAGGCCCACCGGCTCTGAGCAGATTTGGATTCTGATCAGAGAGTACGTCTCTTTTCCGGGTATTGTGGTGCGTGCCTGGTGGTACGGATGGTTCCAGACTTTCCTTCACGCATGGCTTCACTTCCCATTTTTGGAAATTCAATGGAAAAACTGTTGGCTCTCTGGTGAACTGCTATACAAGTGGACTTAGACCTAGTAGTCCCCATTCCATCTGCTGGGGTGGGCACCATAATAGACACTTGAAACCCAGCTCTGTATGGGGGTTACAGAAGGGCCAGGTAGAGTGGCCCTCCTACAGGAAGGGTTGAGGAATGAAGTATTCCCCTTTCTATGTAACTTAGCTGTTTAAATAAGACATGGCCCCTGCCTTCAAGGACCTTTCTTTAAACCTATACAGTTTTTTTTTTTTTTTTTTTGAGACAGAGTCTCAGTCTGTTGCCCTGGCTAGAGTGAG